CATCTATGTTACATGGACTCGGTACATGTGTCGGATACGGGTACATATCCAAGTATCCGGTATTTATATTTCTAATATTAAGATTCGGGGACACGTACCCAAACTTAGACACGGGTACGCGAGTACGACATTCAATGTAATAAAATTAAATAAATTAATTAATTTTATTATATTAATAGGAAAATCAATGAATTTTTTTTATTAATTACTTAATTTTACGATATTAATTAAATTAAATAATCAGACGCATGTATTCAATTAAAGTACACTATCCTATTAATGTACACATATTAACCAGCCAACCACATCCAATTAAAATCCACGTTAAACAAAAAAAAAAGCCCATTTATTGATGTACATCCAAAGCCCATGTATTGTAACACATAATTATCAAGTAGGCAGCCACATTCAATTAACCTAGATGTCACGCAGCAGCCGCTCACGCGTTTCACGCGTTTCAAGCAAGTCTCAACAGTCTGTCATGCACGCTTCGTCTTCTCCGACCTTCCAAGTTTCCAATTTCAAAATTCATATCCGTTCTTGCCTATCCAAATCCATTCTTGCCCTTCCATTCAGACGCCCGTCAACATTCTCCCGTCACAATTTCCACAGCCAAGCTTCAACCTTCAACCCGTCCTGACAGCCACCCGTGGTCAACGTATCCGACCTCTTTTAACCGGATCGGAGCCGAATTTTGTACCGGTATCCGTGTCGTGTCGTGTCGACACTGGTACGCCGGCGGTAGGTGGCGAGTCCGGGCAACATAGATTATCATTTGTAGAGTTTGAAGTGTTTTTAAGAACTTATCAAGATACTTAAGCAAGATCTTGTGGCGTTCTCCATACCGAGGTTCTTAGCTGATTATATAGCTAACGGGTCGAGGTTTTCAAGCTCTAGGTACGATCAAACTAGATCTCCGATTTGGATTTCCGCTGCCTATTTATACGTTAGATCATGGATCAATATCCAACGGGTCTCACGTGCTATCCGTATCCGTTTGGTATCAGAGCAATTTGGTATTGATCTAATTTCTATCTTCTTTTGTCAATCTTTGTATAAAAAAAAAAGTTTCTTGTATTTTTCTACAAGGATTGTTAAAAAAAAAAAGAAAAAAAAAATTGTTCGTTCAAAAAAAAATATGCAACAAGGAGTGGAAGGAT